TTTTTTATGCTATGATGAATGGGGTAGTTTTACTAATTTCTCTTTCAGAGGATTCATCACTGATATATAGAAATGCATTTGGTTTATGGGTATTAATTTTATATCCTGCTATTTTACTGAATTCGTTTATTAATTCTAGATGTTTTCTGGTAGAGTTTCTTGGATCCTCAAGTATAGAATTTTGTTATCATCAAATAATGATAGTTTGAGTTCTTCTTTTCCTATTTGTAGCCCTTTAATTTCTTTCATCTTTCTAATCGCTCTGGCTAGAGTTTCAAGGACTATGTTGAATAAAAGTGGTAAAAGACGGTATCTCTGTCTTGTTCTAGTTTTTAAAGGGAAAGCTTCCATTTTTTTTGCATGTAAAATGATATTGGCCTTAAGTTTAGCATAGATACCTTTTACAATGTTGAGGTATATTCCTACTATTTCTAGTTTTTCTAATGTTTTGAACAGATGGGGTGCTGTATTTTGTCAATGCTTTCTCTGCATCAATTGATACAATCATATTATTATTCTTATCTTTAGTCTATTGATGTAATGAATTGTATTTATTGATTTCCTTATGTTGAACCAACCTTGCATCCCTGGAGTGAACCTCACTTGATCATGGTGCCAAACTATTAGTATGTTCACAGTAAATGAATGATATATATTGAGGCATTATTGTTTGACTCTGAACATTATCCAGATTTTCTTGGCTTTTATTGAATTTTCTTTTTTTGTGTCCCAGAGTTGTATCAGGAAATGACATTACACAATCATCATGTCTCCTTAGTTTCCTCTTAGCTCTGACAATTTTCTCAGAATTCCCTTGTTTTTGATCACATTAACAGACTTGAGGAATGCTGGTCAAGATTTTTGTAGAATGGGCCTCAATTGGGGCATATTGATGTTTTCATCATGTTTAAACTGGGTTAATGGATGTTGGGAAGAACACCACAGAAATCCTCATTATGCCATATGAAGGTACATGTAATGGGCATTAGTTATCACTATTGATTTAACATTGACAATCTTGTTTGAATTGGTATTAGCCATGTTTCCCCACAGTAAAGCTGTGCCTTCTCCCCTGTTCCTTCTTGTGCTCTTTAAAGGAAGTCACTAAGCTCAGCCCACCCCAGAAGAATGGGGAATTGTGCCTCACTTTCTTCAGAAGGAAGTCTCTATTCAAGATTTGAACAGGAGGTTTATCTAGTCTAATTTATTTTGTCACTTCTCTCTATTTGTATGGGCCCTTGGTTATTTATTTTATGCTCTAGGTTTCATCTAATGTTATATGATGTGGTTTGTTTCTCAAAGTGTTTCAGCTTTGACTACAGGTACTCTTTCAGCTGACCCCAGTGTCCCTATGAAATGCTCTCAGCTCCATGGACTTTTGTTGTTGTTGTTGTTGATGTTTGTATCTGTTTGTTTGTCTTTGATATGTCTATACTTTCTCCTGCTATAAGATGCTGCAGTAAAAAAAGGGGTTATATTTTTTTAAAAAAACAACAATATCTTAAATGCCTTAGTAGTTTGGAGTACTTTATGATTGTCAGGACATCATCAAGTGAACTTTCTTCAATTTAATCCAGATAGATGATACCTGGAGCTCAAGCCATACATTGTGATCACAGAGCTGATTATAGCAACCACCATAAAGAATATAGATAGAGATTACAGATATTAATAACTTTGTGTTTCATTCAAGTGAGAGTGCAATAAAGAAATGGGATTGATGGAGGATGAACACTCAAAGTCATGCTTTGCTTATGGAGAGATACTAATAATTTTGATTTTTTTCCTAAGAAAATATGCCATTAAGAAATGTAATTGATAGGAGGTTTTAAAACTTTTACTTCTCTTCTAGACTAATATGATTGTTTCTACTAAACTAATACTCAAAAGTACATGTGCTAAGAACAAAAAGCACACCCAAAAACCAAAACAAAAACCCAAAGGTCAAATGTTTTTGCTGATATTTGGAAGCTAAACCACAATAAACATGGTAGGACGAGAAAAAGAGAAGTTCAATAGATTAGACAAAGGGGAAGAAAGGGAAGTTGGGCAGGAAAGACAGTAGAATAAATCTAACATATTTTTCCCATGTGCATGTATGGAAATATGTAAAAGGAAAGATTTTAGAGCCAAAGAAGTGTGTCTCATTTCATATTTCCCTATAATTTGTTTTTGAGGATTTATGTTTTCAATCAAACACATTCATTTGGAAGTAAAAGTTCTATAGAGAGAGGAAAAGAATGAATTGATTCCTTCAAACAAAAGTAATAAAATTAAATTACCCTGGCAATATTATAAGCATAGCAATTTCAAGTGATATATCTGAATATATACCGTATCATATAAAGTTATGTAAAGAAAGATCAGTTGAAATATTATGAAAATATTTCCAATTACTTTCTAAAATAAAATGTGAGACAATAGTGAAGTGAAAAATTTATATAATCCAAATCAAAGAACATATATGAAATATTTTCCATTTTATTATCACTTGAACACTTACTTCTTCTACAATCAAATGTATTTTCAGTTTCCCACATGGTATTATTCTGTCATTTCACATGTGAGATCATGTGAAATAACCAATTTTTTTTGCAATTTTTTAAATGACATTATCTCTAAATCTTTAATCCCATTTCACCTTTAATTTTCCTGTGTTTTTTTCCTATAAAATTATTTTGAATGGCAGAAAGGATATCTTTCATATATATGAGGCTTGTTTCTCACAACACTTGCTTGAGAAAGCAGTGTGAGAGTTTGAAGGTGACTATTCACAAAAAGAAAATAAAACTAATCTTTGTGAGCACATTTTCCCCCAGTTTAGGACTACCCTCTCTCCCTCCCCCTTCTTTTCTTCCTTTTTATATCATATGCATACATATTTACTGAGCACTTACTATGGGCTGAATATTATGATGGTCACAAACCTTATACCCCAAATGTTTAGCACCAGATAAAATAGATTACAAATCACCACAGACACAGCCAATCATTGAGTTGAGTATTAATTACCTGGGATAAGATGCTGCTGCACAAATACCTCATGTAATATCTTTCTCTTGTCTGCGTTGCCTTGTTTAGTTTCTGATTATTGTTGCCGATTTTTAAGTATTTTATTATCTTTCATAAAGCTCTACTGTTAAAGGAACTACTTTGTTCTGCTGAACTCACAGGATATTGTTGAGTATGAAATGCTCTGTCCCCCCCCATCCCCCCCAGGTGGATCTAAAATGTACCCTCTGTTTCAGCTGGAACTGTTTTTAATTAAATTTATTTAACCCATGCACTTATTTATGGGTTGCCATGCTATGTTTTTATAGATATATGTATTCTGTAATGTTCCAATCAAAGCAAACACATCTGTCTAAACATTTTTTTTTTTCATTTCTTTATAGGGAGACTTAAAACTCCTTTTATTTTATCTTTTTGAAGTGCACAATACATTATTGTTAGCTATATTCCAAGACTATGTAATAGCACCTCAGAACTTCTTGTTCCTATCTAACTCTAACTTGGTACCCATTGATGAACGTCTTCCTATCTTTCACTCCTTTCTACACTTCTCTGTCTCTGGCAGCAAGTATACCACTCTCAACTGCCATGGGATCAAATTTTTTAGAGTCTGTTTATAAGTGAGATCATGTGACTTGCCTTTCTATACTTAGGTCATTTAATTTAATATGATCTCCAATTCTAACTATATTGCCCCAAATGACAGGATTTCATCTTTTTTTATGACTCAGTAGTACTCCGTTGTGTATATGTGATACTTTTTCTTTCTTCATCAGATAGAATTTTTTTTTGTGTATCCCAAGATGATATCAGGTACCATCTTATGAAGTCAGATCAGGGACTATTTTCAGTCATAGCATCATGGAGTTTGCATAACACGTTTCCCCAAGGTAGTGGACTCAGTACTCAGACACTTAATTACCTTCATTTCATTTTTCTCTCCTTCCACCTCCTTAGGAGAATTTTCTGTATCTCTTAAGCAAGATTCCAAATTCAGACCAATCATTTTCGTGGGTGTTCTTAGTGAAGGAATTTCTAAGAAGTGGCTTTCTGGTGAAACTCAGATTACCATTGTCTATTCTATCATATATCTGATTTATAAGATTAAAAATGTTTTCCCCATATCTCTATTTTGGTCCAGAAAGATAACAGTAAGTCTAATTTGGACCAGAATCTACAAAATGAAACCAAACATGCAGATCTCTTAATTTAAAATTGCACTGTCCCTAGAAATCAAAGTCAGAAATGGGAACGTGGCCTCTCTCCAGCTCAAGACTTCCAATGGAAACCCAAGAGGCTTTGGAAAGAGCAATTTTCTGACCCAGCCCAGACACAGATTGAATTTATGATTTTAGATTTGATAACCTTTGGATAACCTTTCTCTGTACTCCCCATTGTTCTCATTCTAAAGTGAATGACACAGTTTAAGGAAATGCATTAAAGTGCTTTTTTTTTTTTTTTCCTGGCAGACAGTGAGGCCCTTGTTTTAGAAACCATAACTCTGTATGTACAATTTAAATTGTTTGACACAGTGTTATGCAGAAGAGTAATGTTATATAGCTAAAAGGAAGTAATGTGTTTTTTTTCTCTTCATGACTAAAACATGAAAGGAAGACTAAACTTCCACATTTGGGATTTTCAAATTCTCATAGAGAATTTATTACTCTCGTAGAGAGTAATAAAGAAATTAGATATTCTCCAATTGAGATGTTTTCATATTTAATTAGAAAATATTAAATACAGTTACATTCCTATACTATTCTCAGTGGTGGGAAAGCCAAATTTCATCAGAAGAAAACTAAAAATTAAAAACAATTCCTGAAAGTGATGAGAATTTAGATATTAGACCTTTCAAATTTATGTATTTTTATTCTAAATTAAAATTGCAAGGTTATGCAACATATATTTTTTGAACTTCAAAACATGCTTTTCTCCCACTTTTGATTACTATGTCTCTTAATACTTTTGTTTACTCTTGCCATTTTTAGGAGATAGTCAACTTCAACTGTCGAAAATTGGTGGCTACCATGCCTCTTTTTGCCAATGCGGATCCTAATTTCGTGACTGCCATGCTGAGCAAGTTGAGATTTGAAGTGTTTCAACCAGGAGATTATATCATACGAGAAGGCGCCGTGGGTAAAAAAATGTATTTCATTCAACATGGTGTTGCTGGTGTCATCACAAAATCCAGTAAAGAAATGAAGCTGACAGATGGCTCTTACTTCGGAGGTTAGTAAAACACAAAATACAACTAAGATGAAATTTTAGTAGTCGAAGACCCATGTCTTGTCCAGAATTTTGGACATGTAATAATGATAGTATGTGGAATTTGAATATGAACTTGTAACTGAATTCTGACAAAAGTTGCTACAATGTTCTCATATTTCGAGAGCACAAGTTCAATGCATGTGCATTTACTACCACATTGGTTGGGTTATTGTTTCTTTCTTTTCTTTTTTCTTTTTTCCTTTTTTTTTTTTTTTTTTTTTGCTGTAACTAAGTAATAGTTGCTTAAGCCAGATTAAAAGTATAATTTTCTGTCATTCCAAGGTTCACAAAGAGTTGGAGCTCTCTCTGCAAGAGTTTTCAGGAACCTAGATTCCATTTATTTTATCAGTCTGTCACACACTAGAGTGTTTCTTTTTTAATTTTCTTTCTTCTTGCCCACATGGGAAGAACTGATTTTTTTCTACCATATTTTGACATGTTCCCCATGGGATGGTGCAGAGAGAACAGAAGAAAGGAAAAGCTAGTAGCTGATCTTTAGATATGTGCCCCCAAATTGCCAGCATCACTGATATTCACATAGGATTATCCAGAATTTCATCAAAGGATCACCTCTAGTTCTGAGGAAGGATGAGAAATGTAGCCTTTATTACATTGGCAGTTCATGTTGCCAAAAAGTCTGGGAATTTGGATTGTTTCCAACTTTTTCCTACAATAAGGCTAATATTTATATATATACACTTTTACAAAAATCGCCTAGTAGTTGAGTTACTGGGTTAAAGAGCATATGTATTTTTAAACTAAGATAAATAGCACCAAGGTGCTTTAGATAAAACTGTATGTTTGCTTTGACAGTTTGTTTTTATTTTTGTTCTCTTAACAAATAAAAATGGCATTTACTTATTGTTGAGTTTGCATTTTTGCTATTTCTGTTGAGGTTAATGCATTTCTTCACAGATTTATCTCAGTTGTGGACTTTTTTTTATTCCTATACTTTGCACACATTTATACTGTGTTTTCAAATCTTATTTGTAGAAACATTCCTAATACATTTCTTACATATGGTGTAATTACCTTCTCCAAGGTTGGGCTTTGATTCTTAACTTTGTTCATGGAAGCTTTCAACATTCTCAACGTCACTGCTATTTATGTGAATTAGTCTGTCCTTTCTTAAGGCACTAGAAATGTTGTGTCCTTCAAATATGTTTTATACACTGCACAATTAGGGAATTACTTTCCATATTTTCATCTCTTTATTTTTACCACATGTATTATTACTATTGCTTTATAATCATAATTTAATCTATATTTTGTTGTAGTACATACCTTTATTACATTTTTATTTTAGTATTAATCCATCTGAGGTATACCAGTGAATACAGAGTGAGGTAAGAATCTATATTTTTCCCCTAAAGAGAATTTTTCCACAATTGCTAATAGATGATTTCATCCTTTCTGCAAAACTTCTTAATGTTTCTTTAATAATAAGTCAAGTTTAGGGCTGGGGATGTAGCTTAGTGACAGAGCACTTGCCTAACATGTGTGAGGCACTGGGTTTGATCCTTAGCACCACATAAAAATGGAACAAATAAAATCAAGGCATGCTGTTCATCTACAACTACAAAAAAAAAAAAAAGTTTAAGAAATTGTCTTAGTCACAATTAACATTTATTAGGAAGAGTTTTGAATGCTAATATTAAAATAATTCTAAGGTTATTATCTGTTAACATATAGTGGCTGAGTAATATACATTGACTCAGATTAATTATTTTGATTTTTGCCGACCATTAAGGGCAACTTTGAAGTTTCTAGCTTTCCATTTCTTCCTACTCTTCTTTCTTGGCACAATGATTCTATGTTGTCTCATTAGCTCCTTAGACTTTGAGTAACTTATGCTAAGGAAAACCATTAGGAAACACTGAGGATCTAATAGGGTCTACTTTAGAAAGAGCAGAGAACTAATATTTCAATGAAGATAAAAGAAAGAACTAATTGAAATCTGGTAGGGTAAGAAATAAAAGCATATGTATACAGGCCAGTGTGTGTGTGTGTGGGGGGGGGGGGGGTTGCTGAAGGAAACGCATCACACAGGCAATTTTGTTGGGTATGATAAATATGTTGAAAAAAATTAGGGACTTTATATTTTATGCATTAAGAGTAGATTTGTGGGCTGGGGATGTGGCTCAAGTGGTAGCGCGCTCGCCTGGCATGCGTGCAGCCCGGGTTCGATCCTCAGCACCACATACAAACAAAGATGTTGTGTCTGCCCAAAACTAAAAAATAAATATTAAAATTCTCTCTCTCTCTCTCTCTCTCTCTCTCTCTCTCTCTCTCTCTCTCTCTCTTTAAAAAAAGAGTAGATTTGTGAATTTAACTATGTTTTGTGAACTCAAAAAGCTCTTAAATATTTGACAACTATATTTGGTAACATGATTAAGATTTTATACAAGGACTGGAATATGTGTCTCCCTAGATGTATGTGGGTTAACCTGTGAGTGAAGTCAACCATGTCAGTGAGTTTCATGTCAAGCTATAAGATCATTTCTGAGATAAAAGCATTTTTTCTGGTGTGTTATTTCTTTAACACACTGTAGGATATCTGTTCATAAACGAGGTTGGTCTGTAGTTTTGCTGTCATTGTAGGTCTTTGGGTGATTTCTTGAAGAATTTGGATAACAGGTTTTGCTCTCCTGTTAGAAAGAGAAGTTAATCTTGTCAGTATCTTCTAGATTTTCTAATATATTGGAATACACATTTTCAAAAGAGTTTCTATTCTTTGGTGTTGATCAATGTTAGAATGGTCAAGGAAACCTGGGGCAATAGTAGAATTTATGGGCATCTAAACAAGAATGGAGCCTTCCAGTCAGGCAGACAAAATTTAAAAAATAAAATAAAATAAAAACAGGCTTTAACTTAGGGTTTTAATTTGGGGTGGTGGGACCACCTATTCTCTGTGGTCTTCATTTATATCTCCTGTCTTATGAGTATTAATGTATTGTGGTCTATTTGATTATTTGTATTCAGAAGGGTTTGTTTTATGTATAAGTACACTGAACTTGTGACATAAATATTTATGATAATTATATCTTGATTTTTTATGATTCTCATAAGCAGTATGAAGTGACCTTCTTTTTTCTCTTCTGATTAATTTTGTCTTAAAGTGTACTTGGTCTGACATGAGAGTAGCTACCCCTAACAATCAGAGAAATGCAAATCAAAAACTACATTGAGATTTTATCTCACTTAAGTTAGAGCAGGCAATCATCAAGAATACAAATAATAGTAAATGCTGGCAAGAATCCGAGGGAAAAAGTACACTCATACATTTCTGTAGGACTATAAATTAGTCTAAACACTCTGGAAAGCAGAATGGATATTCTTCAAAAGACTAGGAATGGAACCACCAGCTTATCCCACTCTTCTGTATTTATCAAAAAGAACTAAAATCCGCATATAGTGAGTGATACAGCCACATCAATGTTTATAGTAGCACCATTCATAATAGTCAAGTTATGGAACCTGTTAAAGTGTCCATAAAGAGATAACTGGATTAAGAAAATATGATGTGTGTGTATATATATATATATATATATATATATATATATATACACACACACACACACATACATACATACATACATACATACATACAATGGAGTTTTACTTAGTCATAAAGAAGAAAGACATAATGGAAATTGCTGGTAAATGGATGGAACTGAAGAACATCATGCTAAGCCCAGATTCAGGAAATAAAGGGTTGAATATTTTCTCTCATATGTGGAAGCTAGACCAAAATAAGTGGAAAATGAGGGGGAGGGAATACCATGAAAACAGCAGAGAGGTCAGTGGGAGTAGCCGAAGAGAATTGAGGGGTAGAGAAAAGGGATGCGAAAAGGAAAGAACTGTGGAAAGAAACTGGCCAAACTAGCCCATGTACATATATGATATACCACAGTGAATTTCACATTTATGTGTGTGTGTGTATGTATGTGTGTGTGTGTGTGTGTGTGTGGTGTATATGTATATATCTATATATCACTAATTTAAAATAAAACTATAAATAAATAGAATGGAGACCACTAGAGTAGAAGAAGGAAAGTAGGGAGAGGGAGGAGGGAAGCCAAGTAGGAAGTACTTGGATTGAAATGAAACAAATTTTATATCATGCATCTGCGATTATGTCAAATTGAACCCCAGTTCTATGGTGGTTCTATTCCTAGTTGTTTGAGGATTCCCCATGCTGCTTCCAGAGTGGTTATACTAATTTTCAATCCCACCAATTATCTTTCAATATACCTTTATTATCACAACATTTTCATCATTAGTTTATATCAGTATGGAAACATGAATAATTATTTCATAATTTGGTGATAATTCAATAATACTTCATTAATTGTGTGGTTTCTTTCATTTGTACCTTGTGCCCCTTGGAAATATTTCTATTTTTGTGGATAAGAGTTTCCTTTTAATTTTAATTTTTAATTTTTTTTGTTTTCTGGAATTGTAAGATGCTTCCAGCTCATCTGGTATATTTCCTACATAGTATAGAATTATCCATTTCTTCAAGGAGCCCTTGATTCTATCATTGAATAAATGTATTTGAATGAAGATTACAACACTGAGTGCGATCACTACTACTGGGCTGTTAAGCCGGGAAGTTAATAGGCCCTCTCATTGTATGCACACACACACACACACACTCACACACACATTCACACAAACAGTAACCTGTTTATATATGCATATAAGTAAATACATATTTTTGTATACAACCATTCATATCTATATGAAGCTAAGTATGAATTCCAATTATAACCTACAATAATATGAAATATTTTAGCCTCTTCCTTTTGCTTATCTGTAACTCCTCACTCAACAGTAAGATTTGAGATTCCCATTGTCTATTATCTCTATACATAATTGCTCAACTCTAGTACACAGGCATAGTTGTCCCATAACTGTTAACCTGCATGTCCATGATTAGCAAGTCTATCAACTGGAGT